TGGCTACATAGCGACTGGCCAAAAATGTAGATACGGTTGACCTTGTTCTGAGATAGATATGATTTGTATCTCAGAATTCCCAGGAAAGGGAAATATGGCTCGATTAAGATAACCATTTGATTAAGAGCGTCAAAGGACCAACATAATTCTATAGCATTCGGTATAACAGATTGTGGTGCAGCTGTAACTTTAAACAGGTCTAATCTGCGCTGGTAATAAAAATTTTGTAATCGGCTAATAAAGTGCCTGGCAATGTTTAAACCCTTTTCGTATTTTGTTTATTCTCGTAACCGGTAAGTTTTGTTATCATCTCATAAGGTGGTAACAAAGTATTGCCTCGTGGAATATGCAATGCCAGAATAGAATTGCCAAAATTCTTCATAGCTGGTAATAAAATTTTCTAGTTACAAAATCCTAGGTAACGTGCGGATTAGACCTGTAAGAAGCGAACGTTAAAACGTACGGACCGCGGGTTGGGGCTGCTGGTAGGGCTGCGGGCAAAAGCAAGTAAAGTCCATTTACGGATTTGTAACTTATTACAAATTTTAGCCTTGTGAAATTGAATGTTGATTTTTAAAACTAGAGGCAACATGGTACTCGTAGTAAAAACTTTAACAAAAATATTTCTCACCTAGTTTTAATTTACAAACAGCACTTTAAACTAACAATATATAGAGAAAAATTTTCTCAAATTTCAGGAGGAAAAGTTAAAAAACAGTAGTAGTAGTCCATCGGCAGTGTTTTGTTGCACTAATGGTTTGAAACCGTGTAAATCCGCTTTGTTTTTTTTTTTTTATTATTTTAAGAGATTACGATTTCTGCATAAGAAGCATCATTTCCATAACTGCTGAGTTCTTTTTTGAAGTGAAACTTCTTACGCGAGTTCGGAAATGGTTGCGTTAAATATTTAACACCAAGTAATAAAATCTGTATCGTTCGTTCGATTTTAAAAGATGAGTTGACAAATGAAAGGGCTTGACCTGTAGATGTGTAATATGATTTTAGTTCTTTAAAGGGTTGCCATATATATGAAAATCAAATTCAAATTCAATAAAGTATCCAATATGGGTATCAAAAGAAATGGTTTTGAATAAAGATGAAGATGAAGATGAAGATGCAGATGCAGATGAAGATGAAGATGAATATGAAAATGAATATGAAGATGAAGATGAAGATGAAGATGAAGATGAAGATGAAGATGAAGATGAAGATGAAGATGAAGATGAAGATGAAGATGAAGATGAAGAAGAAGATGAAGATGAAGATGAAGATGAAGATGAAGATGAAGATGAAGA